GCCTGTTCTACACAGAAAAGTCAGGGCTACATAGTGAGACTTATCTCAACAAAGCAGAAACAAAGCAGAAAACTCAAGTGAAGCTTATAAGCAGCCATTTCCAGGTACTGTGGAACAATAAAAAATGGGAAATGGAGGGGACTCTACTTCATAAGTATAAAATCCACTTAAAACAGATATACCTAATAAACCACAATCAGAAGTCCTCATAGATAGTTTTGTTAAAAATAAATCTCTGGTAAAAAGCTCAACAAGGTTACCATCTCAATGCTGATGCTAGTAATTACATTCTGGGTTCTCACTCATTGAATGGGATCATTTATTTATCACAGTTTCCCCTGTGGTTAAAAGAAAATGACTTTGTGCAGATGAGGGTGCTTGATTACTGCTTTTGAGACTTGTAAAATCATAAGCATGAATGGAATAATGCACATCATATGTGATGGATAACATTTCTGAAATAAATTGCCTCATGCAGCTGTCCTATCCTGGGAAACAAAGGACCCCCAAATGACATTGCCAGTGAAATCATGACAATCCCAAACAACAACAAAGTATGTAATCTCTGGAGTGGCCAGAGGTGTTCTTTCATTGGCGCCTAGACTTCAGTGCCTTATTTGAAATAGCTAACATACACACGTAATTTTAGTGTAAAATTGTGCTATAAATGTAGAACTGTGAATATGAAAACCAGGATATTATTTCTTCTGAAAATGAGACAGAGAGGGATGAGGGAGAGGGATGAGGTAGAAAGAGAGGGAGAGGAACAGGGACAGGAGCAGGGAGAACCATCCAGAACAGTGATACTCAACCTTCCTAATTTTGAGACTCTTAAACAGAGTTCCTCATGTTATGGGACCCCCAACAACAAAATTATTTTCTTGTTACTTCATAATTGCCATTTTGTTACTGTTATTAACTCTAATATACATATCTCTGTTTTCCATGGTCTTACGTGAGCCCTGTGATAGGGTTGATTATCCCCCTTAGGTGTCTCGTCCCATGTGTTTAGATCTAAAGCTTCCTATCTATTTAGCTTGAGCACTATGCAAATGAAAGTTACAAATTCATCATGTGTAGCAGTTAAAGTTTATGATGGTCTTAGAGAAAGTTTAAATTTGGGTGAAAACTCCAAAATAAACCATATATGAAATCTATAAATGATCAACGGATACAAATATCAACTACAACTTAAGAGTTTTACTAACTATTAGAAACAGAATGTCAAAGTCTTAGAGAGGTAAGTATTCACTTCTGCTAAGGTGTAGAAAGAACACATTAGCAGAATTCTTTAACACCAAGGAGTCTGCTGCTTCAGAAGAGAAGTATTGTACTCATGTGCCTAGCTGTGCCCAGCGATTTTTTTTACCACATTCTTCACCTAATTAATAAGCCAGACAGGGTGCAATATTTAATTACACTTATATGACTAGAAAATTTTAAATGTATTTATTCATACAGTGTATTTTGATAATAATATTTTACCTCCTCCAATTCTTCCCACACCTCTGCCTACCTGACCTCATGTTTGTTCATTCTTTTTTTTCCTCAGGACAATAAAAAGGAAATAAAAGCAAACACAAAAAACAGCTTGCAAACCTATAAGACAAAAAAATTACCCAAACCAAACAAAAAGCACACAAAAATCATGAGTCTCATCTGTGTTGACCAGCTAATCCTGACTATTCACCTGAATGTGGTTGATACACTGAGGTACATTCCGCTGGGGGGAAAAAACTGATTTTCCCCTTCCCCAGTAGATATCTATAGCAGTTAGCTTCTTGGCTATGGGTGATACTTTGTGCCCACTTCAAATTTTCTGTCCTGGTATTTTATCTGACTTGAATTTGTGAAGGTCTAGTATGCTGTCTCTCTGTCACATTTGTGTTTATTTATGTATCATCCCTGTCACATGTAGAGGATGCTGCATCCTGGAAGCTGTCCTTCGCCTCTGACTCTTAAAAACATTTCATACCTGCATATATGCATATCTGCATAGACACTTTGGCCCTGAGAGGAGGAATTTGGTGAGGGATTTCATTTGGAGCTGAAGGCTCCAAAATATCTCACTCTCTGCACATTGCCCAGTTGTGATGCTCTATGTTAATTACAAAATACTAAATTCATCAGAAGGTTCTGATGAAAGTTCAGTAATATTCTGATATATGGTATAGCAATGCATCTTTAGGAATGAGTTTATTGCTGTGTTATTTTAGGAGAATAATAGTAATAAGTTTTCCACTAGGCCAATGACCTGATTCTTGGCCTCTTTAGTGGTATCACATTTTGGTGGCATCTTATGGACTAGGATTTAAGTCCAAACAAAAAGTGGGCTGCTTACTTCCATAACACTGGTGCCACTATTGTATACATTTGCAGGCAGGTCACTATTGTAGGTCACAAGGTTTATACTGGGTGGGACTGAAGATTGCTTTTCTTGAAGAGTAGTAGTCAGTAGGCATGAAGCTTCTAGTTGAGTACCAGCTAAATTTCTCAGTGTAGGATGAAACAGATATCTTATCATCCTTCTGAATATATCATTATCATCTTTATGTGGAGTGTAACCAGTAGCCTTGGAATTAGTCTATGACGTTTAGGAGATATATGGCACCCCTTTGGTGGCCAAAAATTCTTATCCAAAATATACAACATTTTTTGTATCTGCATCAAGAGAAAGTAATCCAGTAAAAAAAAAACAGTTAAAATACACTGAAGAGATATTATAAATGCATGCTAGTAAGCTTAATAGGCATCAGGAGAATGAAAAATAAGCCACAATTGCACCTTCTGCATAGTCACTAAATAGATTAACATGCAAAAGACAGATTCCATCAGTATTGGCAACTCTCATGGAAAATGAAAAAAATAAGCCTGATTTATCATATACAAACATATATCTACCTGATAATATAACAATTCAGCTAGTAATTTCTTTTATCAAAAATAAAGTTATGTGTTCTCAAAAAGACTATGTATTCTAGCCAAAAATTTGAGATGAACCTCATTTCCATTAATAAACACAGAATAGAAGAGTCCAGAACTAGAGTAAGGCAATGAAAACATGTGTAAGAATACATAGAAGAGTGTATACATCTTCATATTCATGTGATATACAGGCACCTATTCTTTATTACATCAGATTGACAGGATGCACATCAAAATCTTTTTTATTTTACTTATTGATGTGGGCATCATCATTCAGTATTCTCTATCCTCAGCTTAATAATTACGATACTGATAGTCAGGGTAGAGATAGGTATTGCTGGGTCCTTGGCCTCTTAGTTAAGTAGTTGAAATGAAAGAGTACATAGACTTTCAAAGGTAGCAACGGAAGTTTATTTAAGGCAAATAATGGAAAAGATTAGAAGACACAGGAAGAAGCAGCAGACTACAGAAGAGAAGATATTTTAAAACTCCCAAATATTGTGTGGGACTTTCTTCCATGGGTGTCAAGGGAAGGAGAAGTTTGATTATTAAGGGGCATAGTGAAGGTGGAGCTCTGTTTTGACTGAGAAATTAGGTCATGTAATTTTTCAACTTTGTGTGTCCCTTCCCAAAATGCACCTGATTTTAATCATTGCATGTACAATTTTGCAAACAGATAAAATATAGGAGATTCTTCTTAAAATTTTATTTGATGACACAATTTTGGCTTATTATGCATTCATTTTAAACTAGATTATCCTTCCCTGGTAATTCTGCATTACCTACTGATATGTTAAAGATGCGTTTGACTAGAAACTATCTATATTTGACTGCTGTTTGGGAAAAAACTTATCCTATTGTGCAAAGAGAGGATCAGGTGAGGGTCTGTAGATTTGGATGCATTATTCAGCAAAAAGTATGTGTCTATATAGCAAGTATGTGGGCGTGAGGGACCTGAGAAACCAAGCACATTTTTAGCAGAAGTGAAGTTTGTAACCCAATTCAAGTAGCAACTCAGGTTAATAAGTTGCTCCCTATGTTGGACTGCCTCAGTAACAGGACATTGATAGGAAAAGAAACTATGCTTTATTCTATATTTGTCTTGTTCTTTTGCAATTAATGCCATACGTTTTAGCAAATATAGTCTACAAATGGAAATAATGTGATTAAGAAAGATAAGCTAGGGTTTATAACTGACCATAGTCTAAGAAGGCCACCACATCTGTCTGTGCTAGACGCAGTTGGAGGAGTCCACTTGTTTGTTTTCCAGCTGCTCGACAAGCTTAGACCTGAAATAATCACACAGAAACTGTATTAATTAAATCATTGTTTGGCCCATTAGTTCTAGCTTCTTATTGGCTAACTCTTAAATATTAATTTATCCCATTTCTATTTATCTATATATCACCAAATGGCTGTGGCTTACAGGCTAAAGTTTCAGTGTCTGCAGTGGCTCCATGGCTTCTCTCTGACTCCACTCTTCTTTCTTCCAGCATACAGTCTAGCTTTTCCAACCTAGTCTGTTCTTCTCTGCCGTAGGTGTTGTGAAAAAAATTTCTTCAAGATGTCATCACTTATATATTCTTTGACACAAATGTTTCCTTTCTACTTTTTTTTCAATTCACTGAATATGCAACAATGAGTATTTTTTCAGAATTCTGTAACCCTGGGGAGTCATAAATTCTGAATGTGAATGGTATAGTAGGGCTGGATGATGGGCAGACTAAATTTTCTTTTTAGACATCACCTACAAAGCTCGTGTTCAAAGATGAAATTACAAGGGATTTTCAAGGGGGAACAAATGAATCCAAATGTAAGTTCCTGTGTAATTAGTGTCATATACAGAAAATTCACCCTAAATAGCTAGGAATAGAAGTAGAGAGATGGTTGCTCTATGGACCTGATTCTTCAGGAGGAAACTTTTGGAGGGCCAAAAGACAAATGAAGTGAAAAGGTAACATAAAGTCAAAGTACTTATTGATTTTGCAAGTGTAAATTTCAATTGGGTAACCAGATGTGAGAGTTCAGAGTACAAAAGAAGCAAGAGCTTGAGGTTGGACTTAGACACAATCAGCAGAGCAGTGAAATGATAAGATAACTAATGAGAAGTGAGAAAAGTTGCTGGCCTACGGTGTGTGGTGAACGCATGTCCTCCCTAAACATCAAAATACTTAACTCAGTATATAGTTACTAGATGTTTCTGGTATTGAGGAGTTCATTACTTTGTGTGTTCCTTATTTTTATCATGGTAAGGAAGTCTTGCCTGCTTCTCCCAATTTAGATTGGTGTCTATAAAGCATATGGGAAATAAACGTGGGCAAATTAAATATTCACTGGGCTGCCCTAATGACAATATTCTGTATCTCTCTTCTCTTCTTTTGTATCTTTGTTTTATTCTGTCTAACATGTCTAATCCACACACCCCTACCCTGGAACGATCAAGCCTGCCGGGGCTGGACCAAGACTGATGTCATTTCAGTGTGAGACTATGACAGATGGCCTCTCAACTTGGGGCTTCTGACAGATGGAGCCGGACATGGAGCTAGTACAGGTGGAGTACATGACGGATGCCACAGAGGAATATCACACCACAGGTGTACAGGTGAGAAATAAGCACGGAAATAAATCACAAACGTGGGAGGGCAGGGAATATTTGGACTAAAATTGTATATAATTGTATATACGGGACAAGGAAAGAGTAGACAACTGCCTATACATTCACTTGGGTATGTTTTGAAAATCAGAAGAACTGGGGCAGAGCAGAAACAAATGCAGAGACTTTCAGAGTTTGTAGATAGTGTAATATTCTGCCCCCTCTCTCCAACTGGTAGTACAGTCACTGTCATTTTCAGACTACTCCAGGATTTGAGGAAGAGAAGACGCTGCCCCACTCACACTCCCGTCAGGCTGACCTGTGGACACTATGTTCTCAGAGCACTAACTGCTTCTGAGGTAGTCAGGCAAAAAGCAGTGTGGGCCCACCTGTCTGCTCTGGAGCTCGAGGAAAGAAAAGTGGAGGTAGTACAAATGGCATGGCTCCACCCGCCTAAACTCCCAGCCAACCAAGCCTGTGGACGCCATGGTCTCAGAGTCGCCATAATAATGGCCACTCGTGTACCATCCCAGGTCTGCAGCGGTACCTCCGAGTTGCGTTGTGAGAGCAGGGCCTGTCCTCTGCCAGGCTCAAGAGGCATAGGTGAATCTGAGCCTCATGGTCTCCAGTTCCAGGCAGGAGACGGAGAACAATCCACAGGTAGTCACCACCAGGAAGTCAGGAGTACAGGAGACAGAATGTTTGGAGAGCCATGTCTCCCACAGTCATGGCGGGTGCATGGAGCCAGTTGACTAGGAATGGTCAGAGGCAGCACGGCCTGTGAACCCAATGAGCCTGTATGGATCAAAGCTTTTAGCAGAAGAGAGGTTGTGGGAATTCTTCTATTTTCGGGGTTTAAAAAAAATCTGGATAATGGAGATTGATGCAGGATTTGAGAGGAGTTAATGAGACTGCAGCCTTAGAGAACTGACCTTCCCAGCTAGTAGTATGTAAGAATACAAATTGCTGCCTGTCAACTAAAGGGAGATTTGGAACTTGGATTAGAAAGAGAGCTTACTTTGTTTACTACAGAAAAGCCAGATGGAATCTAGGTGCCATTTTGGTAAGGACCCTAATGTGATCGATGTTCCTTATACTAAGCAACAGGCTGATTGGTTATTTAAATATAATAATTCTTGGATAGTCTCTCAGCAAGCACATGATTTGCATCATCAAACTGGTTAAAGTTTTTAATAAGAGAAATTGCTTGACAGATTTTAAGCAATATTCATCTGTACCTCATCTGGGAGTAAGTCCTCAAGGTCTGATTCCTAATTATTTATGACAAATGAATGTTACTCATATTGCAGAATTTGACAAATTTACATATGTGTATTGACAAATAATACATAATCAGGTTTCCTGATGGCCACTGCACAGACTGGAGAAGCCACTAAGCATGTGATAACTCATTGCTCAAAATGTTTTCATAAATGGGAATTTCAAAAGTAATGAAAACAGATAACTGATCAGAATATATTTGTGAAGCATTTCAGAATTTTGTTCCTAGTGTAACACTGAGAATAAAACAGGTTATAAAGGTAACATTCTTTATAACCCACAAGGACAAAGAACTGTGGAGTGTGCCCATGCCTCCTTGAAAACACAACTTCAAAAGATAAAAATAGGGGAATTATACCCTCAGTCACCACGTAATGCCTTAAATCATACCTTTTTATACCCAATTTCATGAATGTACATACCTGTGAACAATCTGCCACAGATAAAATTTGGTATGTTTGTACTAGAGCAACCTTCACTAAAGCAAAATGGAAAGACACTTGCACTAAATTAAGGAAATAATTCGACCATGTTTTAATATGGGGTAGAGTGCATGTTTGTGCTTTTTCACAGGAGGAAAATGAAGCTCTGTGATTTCCTGAACATTTGGTACACTCTGTGGAGCAGAGGAGTATCATACCTGATGATACTATAGCTTCTAAGGCCATCCCAGAGGAGTTGGACTGAGAGATTGCTGAGTCTGTGTTTCTGAACCTCTGATGTCATCATCTTCCAGTCTGAGAAGGGAAGGAGATCATTGTGATACTTGGTGATTTCTGATTTCATGATAGAACTGCTACAAATATTTCCAGACCTTAGAGAGTCCTATTTACTCTGAAACAGGCACAAGAACATTGAATGTTTGGCCATATATCCACAAAAAAATATTGAGATGCGGCACTCATTTTGGCCAGTATAGTATTTGTCTGCTATTGATATGGAAAGCCTGAAAAACAGGTGCCTCAGATGCTTTCCCGCTGGAGAAAAAGGCTCATTGAAGAACTGAACACTATTGAAGACATAGTGAGCAACTAAACCCCTTTCTTTGTACAACAAACCTCATTGGAGGCACTGATGAAACATCCCATATTGTTGTGGTGGAATAGGACAAAAGATTTGCTGATGGTACTGTAGCAGCTTAAACCTATTTTTGAAAATTTGAAGTCCCAATACAATGAAACCATAGGAGAGAAAAAGTCTCATAGCTCACCCAACGCAGAAAAAAAAATTTCTTTTTTTTTTTGATTAGACTGAAGTTAAGAGAATTGTAATTTGACAAATTGTGTGTTAATGGTTAATGTTCGTACTAGAATTATGGTATGGACCTGTTAATATTTGCAACTACCTTGTTCACTATGAAGATGTTGCAGATTAGAAAAATGTTAGAGCTTATCTGAGAAAAATTTGACATGATGCAAACAAGTCCTTCGATTTGGTACATTTAATAAAATCAATTTGGATTTTGATGCATCTAAAAACTGTTCAAGATATCCTAGACCATTTTAAATAGGCTATTCCATCTTGACCATCCTCTACTCTTTAGTTAGAGATTTGGTGGCCATGGGACCATGTGTATTGCAGAATATTATCTGCTGACTTATGACTATCTCGTTATTTGTGGATTCTCTAAATGGAAAGTTGGCTCAGAGATTCATGACATCTAACTATATACTCTCCCTTAACTCTTAAACAGAAGATAGCAGTCAATGATGGGTAAGATATCTTTCTCTCCAGGCCATCTAAGACAGGACATGAATGAGAGAATGTATGTACCTATGATTGGCAAGTTTGGAATGCGGAAGAAGGTAACCTAATCCAGGCACAGTTGTCTGTTCAGTAGCAGAAGAACCGGTTTTAATAAAAAAATATGAAAAGGAATAATATGCTGGAACCCACAGAAGTGAATTTGTTTCACTTTTACCAAAGATCAGGCCTATTCTTGTTCCTTCAAGGTTATGACAGGAGATTTGACCCAGGGTGTGACTACCTACAGTATGCTCAGTGTAGGGAATGGTTGCTGTACGTCCTGCCTAAACAAGAGAAAACTTAGCTCAGAATATAGTTACTTGATGTTTCAAGTATTGAAGAGGTAATTACTTTCTTTGTTCCATGTTTGTATCATGGTAAAGAAGTTTTGCCTTCTTCCCTTTTTTGGATTGGAATATATAAGGCATATGGAAAATAAATATGGGTGAATTCAGTATTCACTGGGTTTTCCTTATAACTCTATTCTCTATTTCTGTTCTTTTCATTGTGTCTTTATTTAGTTCTAATATTTCTAATCCACATGGTCTTACCAGTGAACATATGAACCCGTTAAGGCTGGACCTTGACAGGTATGATTGAATATCTTTTGTGTATATACCCAAGAATGATAATGTTGGGTTTTAAGGTAGATTGATTCCAAATTTTCTGAGAAACTGCCATACTGAATATCCGAAGTGATTGTACAACTTTGCACTCCCACCAGCAGTGGAAGAGTGTTTCCCTTACTCCACATCTTCTCCACCATAAGTTGTTATCAGTGTTTTGATCTTAGTCAGTCTGATAGGTGTAAGATGGTATCTCAGAGTCATTTTGATTTGCATTTCCCTGAAGAATAAGGATGTTGAGCAATTCCTTAAATGTTGTTGAAGCCATTTGAGATAATTCTATCGATAATTCTCTGTTTGGATCTGTATCCAATTTTTTAATTGGATTATTTGGTATTTTGATATCCTGTTTCTTGAGTTCTTTATATTTTGGAGATCAGACCTTTATCGGGTATGATTTCATATAGGCCTTTTCCCATTCCATAGGAATGGTCTTATTGACAGTGTCTGTTGCCTTAAAGAAGCTTCTCAGTTTCAGAAGGTTCTATTTTATTAATCATTGTTCTCAGTGTCTGTGTTACCTAGATGGTAGAGGGGAGAGAATGGTAGATGAGAACATGAGGGAATAAGATGGTCAAATTGGGAGAGGGAGAGATTGAGAGCAGTGAAAGAGATATCTTGATAGAGGACACCATTATGTGGTTAAGTGGAAACCTGGTATTAGGGAAATTCCCAGGAATCTACAAGGATGATGCCATATAAGACTGCTAGCAATAATGGAGAGGGTGCCCCAAATGGCCTTCTCCTATAATCAGATTGATGAATACCCTAATTCTCATCATAGAACTTTTATCCAGTACCTGATGTAAGCAGATGCAGAGATTCACAACAAAGCACTGGGCTGAGTTCCTGGAGTCCAGTTGAAGAGAGTGAGGAGAGATAATATGAGCAAGGGGAATCAAGATCATGATGGGGAAACCCACAGAGAGTTCTGCCCCAAGCTTATTGGAAATCACTGACTCTGTACCAATAGCTGGGAAGCCTGCATGGGACTGAACTAGGTCTTCTGTATGTGCATGATAGTTGTGTGACTTGGTATGTTTGTCGGGTCCCTTGTAGTGGGACCAGGCTCTATCCCTGGTACACAAGCTGGCTCTTTGAAGCCCATTAGCTATGATGGGATGTCTTTCTAAACCGTGATGCAGGAGTGAGGGGCTTGATCCTACCTCAACTTTATGTGTCAGGCTTTGTTGATTTACCATAAAAGGCCTTACCCTTTCTGAGGAGTGAATGTAGGGTGGGACAGAGGTGAGAGGAAAGAGGAGAGGAGGGAGGGGGAACTGTGGTTGCTTTTCAAAATAAATAAAAAGCTTAAAAGAAAGCACTCATCAACATACTTCAATTTATTATTCACTCTGTGATTTAGTGGTCAGAAAAGGAATATATGAATTACACTGGAAATTTGAAAACTATTTTTGTCAAGAGATTAAATGTTTCAAGGCTTTTACACTCACCTGTAAAGGGAGGTACCTATTTAATTTTCTATAAAATTGTATATCAAAATAATACCTGTATTTTCTAAGGTATAAAATTTCCTGTTAATTTCAACTGTGGTGTCCCTCTTCTCTGTTTAATGCAATCTAATGTGTGTGTGTGTGTGTGTGTGTGTGTGTGTGTGTATGCTTTTCAAATTCAGTTGCCTATTTGTGTTGCCACAAGGTTAAGTATAATTAATTAAAATCTCTGAAATCCTTCATAATTCTAACCTTTGTGAGCACTGACATGATGACGTAGTGTCAGCAAGGTGTGAGTGAGAGAGTTTGGGGGTTATGATTCCATACTTCACATAAACTAAATTCTTGGGGACATTCCTGGCCAGCAAGGGGCAATGATCTTCTAGCAGACATCCATCAGAGGAGGGGTGAGTTTGCTCCTGGCCCGTGGCAGAAGCCCCGGCAAGGAGGAATTCAGACTTTCCCCGACCCCCTTGACTACCTGGTCACCCCAGTGGTGGCTCCACCCTGCGGAGTCCTCCCGCCTCCCATCCAAGCTTTCATCCAGGTACACCTTCCTCTCTTCCTTCCTTCCCTCTGGGGCCATAAGATCTCCTCAGCTCAGCTGTCTCGCGTGCTGGGCCTGGGCTGTGAGCACAACGCTGCAGGAGGGAGTGCCTGTGTTTCAACAGCCTGCCTGAGGAAAGGTAGGCCTTCTGTCAGTGAAATCCCTGACCAACAAGAGAACCTGACCCGGTATCAGAAGATTCAATAGAGAGCATTTGAAGGAAGAGATGGGCAGACACCAAGGCAAGAACTCCTCCAACAATCTGAAAAACAACATGAAAACACCAGACTCCAATGACCCTACAATAGAAGGACTGGAACACCTTAATCCAGAAGAAGTGGGAAAAATGCCATTGTGAAAGCAATAGAGTCTCTTAAATAGGATATGAATAGCGCCCTTAAAGAATTGGATGAGAAGCACAACAAAAAATTTGAAGAAATGAGTAAAGAAATGGATGAGAAGTATAACAAAAAGTTTGAAGAGATGAGTAAATCTGTGAATGATACACTGGGAAACCAAGAAAAAAACAATCAAACAGGTAATAGAAACAGTTCAAGAATTGAAAACTGAAATGGTGGCAATAAAGAAAACACACACCAAGAGATGGCTGGATATGGAAAATCTAGGTAAATGAACAGAGACTACAGAATCAAGCATAACCAATAGAATAGAAGAGATGGAAGAACGAATCTCAGATGCTGAAGATACCAGAGAGAAAATAAATGCTCTGATCAAAGAAAACAGCAAATCCAACAAATTCTCATCATAAAACATTCAAGAAATCTGGGACACAATAAAAAAACCTAATCTAAGAATAATAGGGATTGAAGAAGAAGAACTGCAGATCAAAGGCCCAAAAAATATATTCAACAAAATTACAGAAGAAAACTTTCCCAACCTAAAGAACAATATTCCTATGAAGGTTCAAGAAGCATACAGAACACCGAATAGACTTGATCAAAAAAAAAATCCCCTCGCCATATAATAATCAAAACACAAAACATACAGATTAAAGAAAGAATATTAAGAGCTGCAAAAAAAAAGGTCAAGGAACTTATAAAGGTAAACCTATCAGACTTACACCGGACTTCTCTATGGAAATCATGAAAGCCAGAAGGTCCTGGATAGAGGTACTGCAGAAACTAAGAGACCATGGATGCAAACCCAGACTACTATACCCAGCCAAACTTTCATTCACTATCAATGGAGAAAACGAAATATTCCAGGATAAGAACAAATTTAAACAATTCCTAGCCACAAACCCAGCCTTACAGAAAGTAATAGAAGGAAAATCGCAACTCAAGGAAGCCAACATAACCAACACTGCCTACAATAACTCAGACATCTAGGGACCCTTCACAAGCACAACTCAAAGAAGGGAAACACACAAACTCTACTAAACAAAAAATAATTAAATAAAAATAATAATAATCGGAGTCAACAATCACTGGTCATTAATATCACTTAATATTAATGGACTCAACTCACCTATAAAAAGTCAAAGACTAAGAGATTGGGTATGAAAAAAGGATCAAACATTCTGCTGTTTACAAGAAACACACCTTAATCACAAAGACAGACATCTACTCAGAGTAAAGTGTTGGGAAAAGGTTTTTCAAGCAAACAGACCTAAGAAACAAGTGGGTGTGGCCATTCTAATTTCCAACAAAATTTACTTCAAACTAAAATCAATCAGAAGAGAAGGAGATGAACATTTTATACTCATAACAGGAACAATTCATCAGGAGGAAGTCTCAATCCTGAATATCTATGCCCCTAATATAAAAGCGCCCACTTATGTAAAAGAAAAACTTTTAGAACTCAAGGCAGTCATCAAACCTCACACACAAATAGATGGAGACTTCAACACACCTCTCTAACCAATGGACAGGTCAATCAGACAGAAACCCAACAGAGAAATAAGAGAATTATTGGAGGTAATGAATCAAATGGACTTAACAGATATCTATAGAACATTCCACCCAAATAGGAAAGAATATACCTTCTTTTCTGCAGCTCATGGAACCTTCTCAAAAATTGACCACATACTCGGTAACAAAGCAAACTTCCACAGATACAAAAAATATTAGTAACTGCCTGTGTCTTATCAGATCACCATGCAATAAAGTTAGAATTCAATAACAATTCTAACACCAGAAAGCCTACAAACTCATGGAAGCTGAACAGTCAACTACTGAATCACCCCTGGGTCAAGGAAGAAATAAAGAAAGAAATTAAAGTCTTCCTTGAATTTAACGAAAATAAAGACACAACATACTCAAATCAATGGGACACAATGAAAACAGTGCTAAGAGGAAAGTTCATAGCACTAAGTGCCCAATTAAAGAAAACAGAGAAAGCACACATTGGAGACTTAACAGTACACCTGAAAGCTCTGGAAAAAAAGAAGCAGACTCACCCAGGAGGAGTAGAAGACTGGAAATAATCAAACTGAGGGCTGAAATCAACAAAATAGAAACACAGAGAACAATCCAAAGAATCAATGAATCAAAAAGTTGGTTCTTGGAGAAAATCAACAAGATTGACAAACCCCTAGCCAAACTAGTCAAGCAGCGGAGAGAGAACACTCAAATTAATAAGATCAGAAAGGAAAGGGGGGACATAACAACAGACACAGAGGAAATTCAGAGAATCATTAGATCTTACTACGAACGCCTATATGCCACAAAGTTGGAAAATGTACAAGAAATGGACATATTTTTAGATAAGTACCATATACCAAAGTTGAACCAAGACCAGGTGAACAATTGAAATAGACCTGTTAGTTGTGAAGAATTAGAAGCTGTT